ATGCTCTTATATCTCTTGCCTGAGGGCAGTGGGGTGAAGAGCTCATGCCCGGGGTGGTGACTGTGATGGCCAGAATTCTACCACGGTAGAATTCTACCAGAATTCTATTCTTAAATAGAATTTAGTGTGGTAGCACATGGTTTTTTATAACACATTTCTGCAGAATGTCATGCTATCCATTGCTACCTCCTGACAGTTTTACTAATACAGTATGTAAAATAAAACGATTATCAGGTACAGTGTATCTGCTTGCCTACAAAGATGCCTAAAAACACTTTATTTTCAAGGTTGTGCTTGACAGTCCCAGGCTCGGAGACTCCTTGCTGGCTTGCTTCAGAATAAGCTTAATGATAGCACACTATGAATGTCCATTGTTCTTCCATAGTTAAAAATCCCTCCTGGGGATGACAAGAGTATTTTGAATTGAATTATTCTCACTGTGTGTACAAAAACATTAATTCCTGTCCTTACACACAGGATCTCTATTGAACTGTTACCTGTCTCGCAACAAGTTACTCAAAATTATTTTTTGATAGTCTGAATTTACTTCCTTGTTCACAACAGTACCGGTTTTACAAATCCCCCTCAAGGTTTTACATATACTGGATACAAATTTTTACATTACATACTTGATGAAATGTAAAGATAGGCTGCAGTTTCTCAGTTGGAGTGGCCTTCATGAGCTCAAACATGACGTCTATATTCTTGTTATGTGAGATTTCCTTCCCAGGAACAATGGTATCATTACGTATACTTACAGTACATAGGCCTGCAGGCAGTGTAGTATTTTCTGGTAAAATCCCTGACAACAAATACAATTGTAGTTTGTCAATAAATACCTATTGAAAGCTAATTACTGTGTAATTGGGAAGGAAAATTGGGATATTTTATATGAGTTAAAATAACAGCAACAAAACACCAGCCTCTTAATCTAAGGTGTTACTCATAGGATGCTCTTTTAAAGTTGTTAATTATTTAACACATCTTTGTGCCTAACAGTTTGCAATTTTTTTTTCTACCACCTCAAAGCTAATAAAGAATCCTTCAAAAATGAAGGCATATCAAACATACCGTAGTATGTATTCATAGAGTGCAAGTATTAGATTAAATAACCATTACTGTTTTCTATTAATTTATACAAAATGTATAACACTCCCTTTTCAATGTTTGGAAAAATGCAAAAAATAGGAAAAATCATTATTTGTAATTATAATTACACAATCTAAAGACACAATCTCCCACAATCTAAAGACATACTGGTAGGTTAATTGACTTCTTGGAAATCTGGCCCTGGTGTGAGTGTGTGCGTGTCTGTGTCAGTGTTTGCCCTGCGATAGACAGGCATCCCATCCATAATGTACTTTATATTGCTTTCAATATATGTTCATTGCTTGTAGTGTAGGGATAGGCTCCGGCTTCTCATGACTCTAAATTGGATGAAGAGGTTAGAAAATGGATGGATAACCATGCTTCTGTGAACTATTTCTGTCAAGGTAGTAACAGAAAGAAATTAGTGTTATAAATTAGAGACCTCTTTTTTTGAAAGACAAGACAAACAGTTATATGATCCTGAGGCAGATCCTGAGGCAGATTGTGTTACTCATGACATGTCAAGTCAATGTTTGAAAAACACACCAGCAATTAATATCCAGACAGAACTGCTCAATTGCAGCAGAGCAGCCATGTTTCAGGCAATGTCATACAGTATGCATGGTTACATTGTTCTGTGTGTCTCTTGGGAGACTATCTGATAATTCCCTGGAGGTAACTCTGGAGACCAACACAAACACTGTGTGGGTCTGACAACTTTGAAAACAACAAAGCTATCCCCTCAAGGACACTGGTCACTTTGACCTCTTGTTTACATTTTATCAACAGAGGAAAGTAGAAAAGGTTGCAATAGGTGTAGCTAACAACACCAGAAGTACAGTATGTGATATTTGAAAATCAGAACCCTAAAAGACTATAGAGTCAGATTTTCCACAGCAGTTTCCAAAGCTTTCTGAATGAGGGTCAGGGTAAGGTCTTGCATAAAGTGCAAGGCCACAAAGGCAGGTAATGTTCTGCTTGTGTCTCTTTTGATTCCAGGTTGGCATTCAGCCACATAAATAAGAACTTAAAAAAGGTTATGAATGAGACAAGGCCATTCAGCTCATCTAGCCCATTTGTCATCAACCAAGCCATGTTTTTGCAGCTGATACTCTGGATTCTTTCAAGTAACAGCAGGACAGGGTCCAGACAGTAGCTAGATGCTAATTAGTTTTATTTAGATGGTGGTCTATAAGAATGGCCTCCACTTGTTTTGTAATCTTTCCTATATTCTTATTATCTTTCTGGCAATAACTCAGTAACCTCAAGTATGGAAAGAACGGAGCCCAACACCTGGTACGCCAGAGACAACAGTCTTGATGTCAACTAGAATTTGCCCAAAAGTCCCACAGAGAGTTTTTTTGAGAAACATACTCTGCTAAATACTCTGATAAAATGTTAATATTTCTGAGAACCATTTTGCATCTGAAAAGAATGCAACACAGAAACCGTTTAAAGAAAAGGAATTGCATAGCATCATACTTGCTTCAACAAATGAATGAGCTTGCTTCACAGGACGTTTTATCTTAGACATTGGGAGTCTGAGCTCTGGACTCCCCAGTTTATGGAAAATTGGAGAGCAATTTTGGGGCAGAGCTGGTATTATACAGTCATGGAACCTGTAGACTTACAGTGACATCAGAGAAGAATACACTGACCCACAAGTCAGAGCTAACTCTCCTCAAGCACTTAAAAGATGAATTGGTCAAATGGCTGGGCAATGCCCATCTTCATTCTCCCAGTGAAGTACTGGAACATGTGTTGGGAGCCAAGACGTAACAAAGAACGGTAAATTCCAAAACTGGTTATTAGAAGATGAAACAAGAGACAACATTTGTTAAGAAAAAAATTGAATCGGCATGATCTTTGCTTTTATACCCTCCACCATTTTGACCTGTCTGTTTTAGTCCATCTTGCCCCTGCACAGAACGATGTGATCCATACTGTATATGCCTTTCTCAGAAATGTGCACTTTGAACTTTCGCCATTTTTCACAATGTGAGCTTCTTGAGGATTGCGACAGTGTGTACACCAAGCTCCTAAACCTGTAGTCTTCCAATCTGCTCCACTGCAGTAATTTCATACTATAGCTGGTTGGCTGCAAAATTGTATAACGAAGTAGATTTGGGGGAGGGATACAGATGGAGTAGTCCTGTCTTACACAGTTTATGAAGAATGAGAGACTGACTGTGGCTAACCACAGGGGTTGCCGATTAGCCCAGGACACCTTGTTGACTCATGCCCATTGAATCCAGCTGACAAACGACAGATGTGGCACCATCACTTAGGTAATCCTGGTTGCAATTTACGAATAAATGTCTGGCCTACAAAGCAAAGTCATAACGGGACCAAAATTAAAACTGTAGTGGTCACACATTAAAAGAACATATGTCATACTAAATTCCAACTTTTGCTATGTTGGTTTTTTTGTATGCCTGTGTCACATTTAACTCGTCTCAATACTTCTACCCAGTTTAAACTGTTTTTAAATTTAAGATAGTGACATTATGGAGGAAGGACCTTGTATTTGTTTTTAAATGATCCCAAATGCGTTTATTTCCTTAGAAGAAATCTTCAGTCTGTATTCATTGCTGTCCTAATCTTTTATTTATTGTCATGTTGTCTGATTCTGAACTGTTTCAAATTATGTCAAATAACTTAGGTTCCTGACTGTAATTCTGTTCTTGAAACTTCTCCAACTGTTTATGTGCCTCTCCTGTGTATAGTTTACAAATTCATGGCTGTCTTGTTTAATTACAAATCTCTGTAATAGATCTTTTCCTGGGTTTAAAAATAAATTGTATTATGTTTTGTGTGGATGAATCTAGAAATGCATAACCAGTCATGGTGTGTCTATGATAAGCCTGTATGCAATGTTTTTGGTATGAGGCAAAGCATTATCATGACTGTAGAATAATTAGTTTTCCTTTATATAATATAATGTTTATATTTATTATTTATTCTGAACTCCCAATCAAATTTAATTATGTTATGTTAGTAAAGAACAGACTGTCACACTTGCAGCGTACAAAAATGACGGCAAAAAGGTACAAAAGGCTGAGATAAAGTTGCTGCAAAACCTTGAAAAATAATTTTCTACACTTTGCTAAACATGATTCTGCCACTGGAGGTCGCTGTTTTACTTGGAAAAAAATGTGCCATTATTCAGCAGCGTTAAGGTTGGTACTGCTGGTGGGGGGAGCTCTGTCTCCCTCTAGAATTCTCCTGCAGACTCCCAGACTCTTTCTAATACAGGCTTTAGTCTGCCAGCACCTTGCCTGTAAATGTCCTTGGAAATAGCTGTCCTTCTTGGGTCACCAGACCTCCAGTAGAAACGACAGCCAAAACAAAAGGCATCCTGGATTCAATGCACTATCGTAGTTCTGATTCTAGTTATCTATGGGAAGTGGATACAGACCAAGTCACAGGATAACTTTCAACGTAAATAAGGATCACTGCTGGTGAAACTTTGCAACCTGCTGCTCGTTTGTTGTTGTTACCGGAGTGTACGCAGTACTGCGGAGGATCTCTAACCGGGTTGTTCGTGTTATACCCCGTTCTTGCATGGATGCATCATGGCTACGTTCGTATGCAGGGTTCAGTTTTTAGATGATACCGATCCTTTTAACAGCACCAATTTTCCTGAACCAACAAGACCACCTTTATATACATTCAGAGAAGATATCCCTCTCATCAACCAGATTGCGGGAGTCCACAGGCTTCTCAAAGCCCCACAAAAGGTACGGTAGCTCAATTCTAAATGTCAGTAATCCAAAGTATCATTTAAGAATGTCATACATGAAATGTACGTTGGCTGTGTTGATTTTCACCTTGGATACGTCTCGTTTCCAGGGGAAACATATTTGTTAAAATAATTGTGATGAACTGAGTTTGCTGCAGATTTTTAACGAATGAGTAATACCGCAAGAGGACTGATATTTGTGCATTACCTAACTTTTTTTTTTTACTTCGTACAAGAAACAGTTCGTTATCTCAAATTTAAATTCAACTTGTTTAGCGTGTCTGGAGAAAGTAACTCCTTTGTAGTCCTAATATGTGAACTCACCAACTGGGACGTTTTAAATTCTTTCTGTACCCCATAACAGAGCTGTGTCATTCATTTAAAAGTGATAGTCGAGAAAACAAATGACAGGTTGCAGCTCCGCACTGATGTTTCCTGCGCAATAAAAAGTGCTGCAATGCTGTGAATGCCAGGCTGCCCTGTGTATCCAGACGTTGATGCGAAAAAGATAATGTCCTTGAAAGATTTTGCCACTAACACACACACACACACAAACACCATCATCTGTTTACCCTACGTGGAAAGTTCCCACACCGAAGTAATGAATACCAGCGCAATACAGTTACAGTATAGGCCCGCAGTGCTATTAATTATTGAACAAATCGCTAAATTAAGCCAACGACAATAGTTGCATCCGGATGGTTTGGATCAATTGAGAGATTGCTGTATCACAAGTTTATATTGAGACATGCTGTGTTTTCATCGTCCACACTCTGTCAAAATTTAGTGTTTATTTAGTTAACACAAAGTAGCTAGTCAGTTTTTTTTCAACTCCATATGCAGGTATGGTTTGTACATTAGTATCAGTTTGCCTTGTGCTATTTTAAAACCTTTACTTTTTTTTGCCCAATAAATACATGTTATTTATAGTCAGTCGGAAGCTCCTTTCCTCTAAATACATTTTAAAAGCTTAACCGAATATTGCCTGCAGACGCAAGCAAGCACATTTAACTGTCTTGGTCACCGATGTGCAATGTTTTTAAGGTGATCTGGACCTGGTGGCTGTTCCTAGAGGAAAATAAATTGAGCTCGCACTGTAAAATTAACCAGCGTGTATCTTTACCATTGGGAGTACAACACCTCACTTGACAAGTTAGCTTTTGCTCGGAATAATCTACAATCTTTCATTAGTAACATTGTTTCTCACTAATTTTGGGGATTCCGCTGATTCCCAAATTGCAATCTGAACTCCCTGTCTGTGACTTTAAAAATATCTATTTTTAGTCGCATTACCTTAGTATACAATAAAAATAAACACACCAAGTTTGGAAAAGCACTTCCTAATGTCTGAAGTTTTAAAATGTTTTCCATTTTTTTTCTTTTTATTATACAGTATAGTGGGTGCCAGTTAATGTCCTAATTATGTCAGTAATGAAGTTACTTTTAAGAAAGCACATTTTTATTTCAGAACTGTGATGAAGTTGATTGTAAAGTTGCATTTTATACTGCCAGTTAACTTTTGTATCTTTTTTTTAGATCAGAGATGACAATCAATGTAACAAAAACACTTGTTACAATGTTGTCACAACCAAAATATAATATTAACACAATGCTCTTGCAGTGCTCATCTGTCATATTGGGATTTTGTGATGTTATAACAACTTAACAATTTATATGATACAGCACATCAGGGTATAAAGTTTTCTAAAAATATATACACAGTAGCCAGCATAACCAAACGAGTCTAACAAAAAGGGACCTTCTAAGTAAAAAAGCATGATATATTTTGATTTAAATAACCAAACCAAACTTAAAGCAACATTTAGAAATGTTATTACAGTGTACATCTGAACACAAATGAGATGAGGGCTTGGGACCCATCTTGTCAGTTGGTAATAGGTAATTGGTCCAAGGATCTTACCCATTTTATTTCTTGAAAGGAGGAAGCATGACATTTAGTGTTAACTGGGACCACATTACCAAGCGATCAATGTTAAAGTCAAAATATTTGACAGTCAGGTGCACTTCCCAAATGCTGTGAGATACTGTAGATATAAAGACAAGAATAAGAACCTGTCACTGCATGAGAGAATAATGAATGTTCACATCTCTGCTTTTGCCTGCCAGAGAATCTAATGTGGCCTGAACTGGCTGGTATCCAGAAGCAGGATTAACGCTCCCCTACAGTACACTACCTATACCTTAGGAAATGTATTCACTCCAGGAGATGCTCTGAGATGTTTTGTTTCAATGTTTTGAAACAACTAGGCCCAGCTACTCTCTCAAAACGCAAACAGTGAGTAACTCTCAGCTTAGAGAGCGCTAGAGAGAACTAATAAATTAAGCAAACAGATATTTAAAATCATTTTGCAGCTTGTTTTTCAGTTTCTGGCAAACAGCATCTGACTTTATTATGAGCTAAAAGAAAAAGCAGTTTTCCCACGAATTGGTAAATTGCATTAATTGCTTCAGTGAAGCATATGGTGAGAAAATGTAATGGGTTTAGAATCTTGCAGGTGTTATGCCAGAATGTTCAAGCACACTATATATGTATTCTAAAACTGTCCTTGAAACCAAAGAATATTTATACATAAGCATACCCGGTCCCTCCCTTCAGCCCCCCCCTTTGACCATGCTATGAACATATCATGGCAAATGTGTGGCGATGATTTATTAACTATGTGTTTATTTTCATCTGTCAAAGGAGGCCTTTCTAAAAATGTTGGAAGAGGAAATGTTTTGAGTGGCTAGACGTTAACACTGACTTTATTTCATCGTCCTTTGTCTGACCTTTTTACCTTTTACCTATTACATTTCCTTAACCGGATTAAACTCTCTCCCACTAATTTTTATTGTGATATCCAGGAAAGTCTTTGCAATGTTTTGGATTCTGAAGTTGTCTTAGGAGTTGTAGTTGGTGAAAGACAATACAGCACTGAGCTTATGTCTGAACTTCCTTTTGAAATTCAGCCTATTAGGCTAAGGGAGTTTTGGTCAATTGTCAAATATATGGATTTTTTTTCTTTGAATCGTTTAGATCTCCAAACCACAGAGCGGCATGAAACAATTATTGAATGATTTTGAATTGTACTTTGTAGAGGACGGGAGGGGTGGTTAAAAGATGCTGACAATGATGATTAAAACTCACAATTTAAGGAACAGCTCCAAGTATTTGAATTGATCAATCAGCAGTTTTTGGAAGAAATGGAAGAAATTGATTAGTAGGAAGGGGAAACTAATTATCCACGCATCCTCAAACATTCAAGGTTTATTTGTTTGTCCTAATCAGGCCCGAAATTGCTTGAAGTAAATTAATTTTTATGTCATTGCAAAGTTTCAAGAAAACTTTAAAGTAACAAAGAGTAAACAATGTATACTCTCTTCCTTCCTATGCATGTTTGAAAAAGAAAATAGTCTGGAAAAGAGATTAATGCATGTTAGTTTGAGAGAACTTCAGTGTTTGACATACATTAAATTAACAGTTATTGTGCCGGAATAGCTGTGCTTTGTAATGACTATGGGCAGTTTCATAGCTCTTTTTTGGTTTTGCAACAAAATATTGCAAAGAACAATTTGTGAAATCCTCCTAGTTGTCTGCATTAAACTATTCTTTAGGTGGTTTAAAGTCACGCAGGTTGTAGTCAGAAGTTAATGCCAGACTCTTCAATTTTGTCAATTCAGTGTATTTTGATGCTGTTTTAGTATTTCTTTGTACATAAGTCACGAAACCTACAGGATGCTGTGGAACACCACAAGTATCTGGGATTCATTTAGAGGCAGCTTGCCCTGACAATAGGAATGGTAATGTCCTATTGGTTAAAGAAAAGAACACTAGTTGCATTTACTATGTACACAAGATGTGTCTTTCCGACCAACTGTAATTAAGTAGTTATTCCAAACAACCACTACCAAATGAAAACTGACAATGTCATTTACTATATAAAATGATGATACCATAGATACTGTTTGGGTGCTCTGTAGTAAACTTTTTTGATAAAACATGTTGGATAAGATATTAAGTTTAAACAGTGGGCCATATAAAACTTACTTACATTGTTATTACCTATACTGCTCTGTCATGACAGATTTAAGAATTTGTTATCATCTACTTAATAAAGAATTGTGTTTGCTTGTAGATTTTACCAACTGATATAAAAATACAGGCAAAACTCTCATGATTGCATAGATAGATTGGATGTACTCTAACTTGCTTTGAGGGATTGTTCAATCCTGTAGAATGCATTGCATTAAATGTTGCAGTAAATTGTGTGATATATTGTTATGCATAAGCTTTATAACTTTTGAAGTAGATACCTTTTAAGTATACAATAAACTCTCAAAAGAAATAACTGTCACATCACAGTATTTACATAAATTATGAATGTTAATGTATTTTCTGATATTAAGAAAACAATTGTAGCATTTCAGTATTTTATACTGTAGTTATATTGCAGATCAATTAAAGTCTGTCTTACTTTTACTTTTTGTGTGCATGTACAAGTTTTGTGATATCACCTTGGCATATATCACAATCAGAATCTATCATAAATTTAGTTTACAGGTGCTCGTCTAGTTTCTCAATCATTAAATTCTTTCCAAAAGTTTTCCTTGACACAGTGATAAAAACTACACAGCAATATATTGCTGCCTCTTCTTTCATGTCTGAGCTGTTAGTGATGTAGCAGCAATACTGTTTTACAGATCAACGTGGTATAAATAGCCTTTGCTCAAACATGGTCTGAGTGCAGGGGAATGTTGCTTTCAGTCTGCTGGTGTTTCCAGATAGCTGTCACTTGAAGACCTAAAGAAACCACTCTGGTAAGCAGTCACTCTACACTTCATGGCAGTACCTCTGCAGAATGATACAATCAATGCCAGTTTCTGGTTAGCATCATACTTTATGGTTAAATTGCTTGCCAATTATTTTATTTTTCCAGGGACAGTGTATCTGCCTTTTTTTTTTTCTCTGAACATGTGTGTGTCAGCAGTCAAAACTCA